ATTCAGGCATAATGTTTGTTGTCTAGCATAGCAATTATTACAAGTTAAATACAATAAGAAATTACTCATTAAGAACAAAACTAGCTACCGGATCTCTTGGTGAAGGGAAAATGTGCTTACCAAATACATTGATCCCAAGGTGAGCATAGATCGGAGAGAAAAATCCATCCACAAAATGAATAAACCACCATGTCAAATAGAAAGTGACTGCTATAGGAAATAGGATTACACTGCATAAAATGATGAGCAAACACTAATTACAGTACTAATCAACAGTAAATAGACTACCAGAAGTCCAGAACTTAAAGTATAAACTAAGATGGTATACAGAGCTTCATATCAACAAGTATAAATAGACTACCAGGATACAATCAAAGCATTCCTGAGAATGCATATATGCACAGCTTCATTTGAACAAAGGCATATGTCAATGGCAAAGAGCAGCCAACTTTTAAGTTTCAACAATTATGTTGGCAAAGAGCCACTGTGGATTATTACTCTCTTATCTCACTTTTAATATTCTCCCTTTGTTTGAGTTTCTTCACTTCACAATAGACAAATAACTCACTGGTTACTAGCATACCATGATACTACCTATAAAATAAAAAAATACCAGTGTAATTTAGGGGTGAAAATAAAATCTTTTAGCATTGTTTCTCAGTATTAAAATACTTGGATCCATGTTCAGAGAGGATGAAGAGAAAATGGAATAGGTATGACTGAATTGACTAACCAAAAAAAATATCTTCTAAAATGATTTTAAAAATCCTTCAAAGTTTGATAATGGCCAAAACCTTCTAAAAATTAATTATTGTGCCAAATTTATTGCAATAGGCCAACAAAAATCTATGCAAAATTTATCATGGGATTTTTTGAAAAAATTTAAGGGGGGGGGGAGGGAGAGGTCCCAGTATTTATCCCAATGTTTGAGATTGAATAGTGAAGAGAATATTGAATCAAACAAGCCCTAAATATCTTAATTGAATCGTTCCCAACTAAAACTTCCCTGGTTCTAGCTAAAAGTCTTTGCTACATACCAAATTTAATTAGCACTAGATAGAAAAGATCCATTTACGCACTACCAAATTTAATTAGCACTAGTTAGCAAAGATCCTTTTTTGCGGGTAAATACGAGTAACATTAATTATGTATTGAACACAAATGTAACAAAGAGTATAAACTACTTGCACATTGCACTTATACTGGGTTTCAAAAATTAGAGAACAAAAAATATTCTCACCATCCAGTCATGAATTTTTTTGAAGCCCAGCTCCTGGCAACTTTGTAGAAAGTCTACAATGAAAACAAAATAGAGAGAATTAAACAGCTTTTTCTCACATCATAAAGAGTAAGCAAAAATTTAAGTCTTTTAAGGACTTTCAAGAAATGCTACAGTAAGAATAACTTCTATGCTGTTGTTAGAAATAAACAATTTTGTAGCATTAAAAAAATGAGGCAATAGCATAATCACGTCTTCAAAAGCAAGACCAGTTACTACCGAAGTTCAGCTCAAACAAGTTAGTGCAAAGTGGCTTAAAATGTACTAGCAGTAAATTCTAAACGGTGGCTCAAATATGAATAGGACAAAAAGAGTGAATAGTAAACTGGATACTATGGACTCAGTTTGAGTAGTTTCTCTCTCTAATGGGAATCTCCCAGGCTCTATGGGATGCCCTCGATCATAAAGACTGGTGGCCTTTAAATTCTGCTTATCTGCTAGGTGCAACAGTTACAGGCTCAGCTGCAGTCATTGGCAGCCAGCATAGTGGGTAAGAAGCTAATTCACTCAACTATGCCTTTTTTGGTTAGGCCATATGAAAAATGATGGACTCCCAGTTTCGGATAGCAAGGTCTTTTAGGTGATCAAAGGGCCCTTGCGACATTGTATTTTGAAAACAAAAGCAATTTGGCTTCAGCACTTTTGCTTCAGCACTTTTGCTACATTCATTCTGATTTAATGGGACCCTCGTAACAGTCAAGGGCTACAATGAAGTTTTGGCCTTTCGCTATCCATGAGCAGCATTCCGTTATTGAAAAAAGTACAGAAAATTTGACTTTTAAAGCTTAAAGCTTCCATCAATGTTAGCAATGAAGCTTGCTAACAAAATGGTGGCTCCTAGAAAAATGTAGCAACCAAACAAACAATTGTCCAATCTTTGTAACTTCATCTTGCTCAATAACTGGAAGAATCAAAATACTTCCAGCAGTCAAAGCTCCCATGAACAAGCTTCAACAAGTCCAAAGAAGATGCTAGGATTCATGACACAATTATACAAAAACATGATGTCATTTAATCTTCCAGCATCCCTTGAGATTTCTTTCAGCCACCACTAAGAATCTAAAATCACTCAAAAAGGAATGGGTAAACCGAGTACAAAGTTTCCATACAACAATGTTGCCCAGATATTCAATTCGTGTTTAAAACGCAAAGCAATGGTCAAATGAACACAAAATAACAATCAATTGCCGCTTCTTTCAGCCCTCCAGTGACTAAAAAACAGGAACCATAATCCAAACATTCAATATCCGAGTCCTATCCATGCAAATATGCAATTCAAGAAATACCCACCATCATGCAACCCTGACCAACCCGAAACCGCAGCAGAAACAGTAGTTATATAACAATTTAATCCCTGGACAAGCTACACATATGATACCAAAAGGGGGGAAAAAAAAGTGTTCTTTCCTTCTGCTAAATTTTGCACTTAAATTGACAATTTTCAATTTATGCTAAATCAGCACTTCAAATTGAAAATTTCCGATTATTTTTAAATAGAAGTATATTTGTTGTCTCACATATCGGCCGGACTGAGGATGCTGTGAACACGCGGCGTCATGATCATCTCCGTCGACGGTTTCAGACACTGGAATGAGAAGCTCCCTATCTCTTTCTCTGCTGGTGCTGCCCAGTAAACCCATCGCCCTCGATTGCTCATCTCCCATTTACCTTTACGAACTCAATTTCAAACTCCTTTTCTCTGCAGTCCACGATTTTCAACACACACACTCTCTCTTTTTCTCTCTCTAAAATTTTAAACCAAGATAAATTCAACAATAAATAAATAAACAACCTCGTGATATCCTACACACCGTTTTTTTAGGCAGAATAGTAAACAATCTCAGTTTTGACTTTTGATAATACAAAAGGAAAATACATTCATACTTTGAATTCTACCCACAACTTTTATTCTTTCTCATAAAAATTTGATCTTGACATTTCTAGTAAGATTCACATGACGAAAATTGTTAGGACTCTATAATTTTATAGGAGTTGTGTAATTTTATTATGAGTTGTTTTCCATATATATTTATATATCTTGTGGGATCTATATATTTATCTATTAGTATAAATACAGAAACATATTTCTTATCCGGTATCGGTGTCAAGTTTCCCTGTTGACTCGATAGAACGTCATAAGGCTCGATTGGTGGCGAAGGGTTATAATTAAGTTGCTGGACATGATTTATTTTATACCTTTAGTTCGGTTGTTAAACCCATTATCGTTCTACTTCTTGCTTTAGATGTCTTGTCAGTTAGACGTTCACAATATTTTTCTAAATGATAATCTCTTAAAGACTGTTTATATGTCTCAACCTCCAGATTATGTTGATACTACTTGCCTGAATCATGTTTATATTTTGTAACAATCCCTGTATGGTTTGAAGCAGGCCCCACGAGCTTGGATCACTCGGCTGCATGATTCTTCTTGTCGGTTGGTTTCCGTTCATCTAAAACGGATGTGTCATTGTTTATTTATGCACGAGGTGGTTCTCAAGTGTATCTCTTGGTGTACGTGGATGATATCTTGTTTATGGGCAGTGACCACTATCTTGTTAATCTCTCATTGTCCAGATGTCAGTATTTAGATGATTTTACGATACATGATCTCGGTGCTCCGAATTTCTTTACTGGCATTGAGACTGTGCACAGTCCTGGTGGTTTGCTCATGTCCCAACGGTGTTAATATGTGTGATATTTTGAAGCGGGCATGTATGGTTGATTGTAAGTCTTTGGCGACGCTAGCATCAGTGGTTTGTCCTGATGTGGTTTCTACTGAGCTATACGCGGATCATACACAGTACAGGAGTCTTGCTGGGGCATTGCAGTATCTGACAGTGACTCGCGCAGATTTGTCTTAATTTTGTGAATAGGTTGTGGCAGCACATGCATTCGCCAACTATTGATCACTGGTCTCAGCTCAAGTGGGTTTTGCGTTATGTTAAAGGCACTTTAGATTATGGTCTATTGATGCACTGAAGTGTCTCTTCGGAGATGCATGCTTTTTCTGACTCGGATTGGGCCGGCTAGCCGAAGGATATAAAATCTATGAGCGGCTTTGAAGTGTTCTTGGGTTCGAATTTGGTTTCTTGAGTATGCCAAAAAAACAACAGACAATGTCCATGTCCTTCACTGAGGTTGAGTATAAGACCTAGGCTAATGTGTGCAGAAGTTGAATTGTATCTTTGTTGTGTGAGTTAGGTTTTTCTTAACTGCTCCTCTGAAACTTTGGTGTGACAATTTGAGGGAGACTTACATGTGTTCCAATCCTATATTTCATGTTAGGACCAAGTATATTGAGACTGATTACCACTTTGTTCGTGACAATGTTGTTTCTGGTGAACTTCAAGTTAGCTTCATCTCCACTAAGGATCAGTCTTCACCAACCGATACTTGCTCCAAGGTGCCTTTCTTCGTGACAAGCTTCAGGTTCAGGTCGTGTCCCGTGAACCTTTGCTTGAGGGGGAGTTGTGTAATTGTATTATGAGTTATATATCTTTTGCATATATTTATCTATCTTATGTAATCTATTGGTGTGAATACAGAAACATAGTTCTTATCAAAATAACTAATCATCAATTGTCACATTAATACTTTATGGAGTAAAAGTGATGAAATACATATGAAATTTTATATTATGAAATTTTAATGCTAATTTGTTTTTATAATTGAAAATGATATTTTTAAAAATATAGTTTACAATTGTTTACTTTTTGTACATTTCAAGAAACAAAAATAAAACTAAAATTATAATTTCGTCTCCCAAAACTTCGCACGATTTCGTATATTTGTTCGTTCTTGAAATACAAAAACATATTTACATGACAAGATATTTATAAGTACTAGTATTTGAACCCGTGCGATGCACGGTATAATAATATGATGAGAACAATTATCTATCAATAGTGTATTATAGATAGAGATGTAATTATAAAATACAAAATACAATTGGGCATATGCACTTTAACTATAATAAAATAAAAATTACATTTATTCCAATATTTATAAATTATTAAATACTTCCTTATATACAACATTTGTAGTTGAGGACCCAGCCTTAGCATCTTCTTCGCATACAAGTATTTTGAGGCCACATCGACTACTAACTCTAGAGACCGCAACATACAATTGTCCATGAACAAAAACTGGTTTCTTAAGAAGCAGGCCAACATATTGAAGTAATTCATTTCAGATAATTCCACGTCGCAACATATTGTGCTATTAACAACATTATCTATAAAATTTGAAAAATATATAAATATATCAAATATATGAACACTTACGCACAATAATAAATTATACATTATAAAAAATATAAATACACGTACCATTTCTCAAAATACGAAGTGGCTTACTAATTGAATCCCCAAAAACTCCAACCAACACATGCCTATTCATTTGTAATCCCCGTTCATTTCTTTTTTTGGGGATAATTTTCATTACATAAATCTTCACCAATGTTTTCTACATTAAAAAAAAATTATCAAAAAACAAATAAATAACCAAGAACACATACCAAAATTATGTGGTCTAATGGTACCCGGGTTGGACTTCCATTTCTAAGGTTGTGAGTTTGGTTCTTAGTGGAGGCGAGATACTACATTCTAATAGAGCTAGTAGCATTAAAAAAAAAAAAAAAAAAAAAAAAAACCAAGAACATAAAAATAAGATGATTTATAACATTTTAAAATTTGTATTTATTTTATAAAAACCAAATATCGGAATTTAGATTTACAAAACTATCTTTATTATTGATTAGTGACCATATATTTATCTAAATATAATTTAAAATTTTACAAAAATTAATTCAATACTTCAACGAATTTAAAAAAATAATAAATAAATAAAACCCTGATACATGAAATAAATTTTTAAAAAATCAGAACAACCCAAAAAAATGAACAAAAATACATATCAAAAAAATATAAGATGATTTATAACATTATCAATCCTGTATTATTTTTTATAAAAAAACAAATATAGATTTTTTATTCAAAAAAAAATACTTTAGTATTGATTAATAACCATATACTCACCTAAATTTAATTTAAAATTTTACAAAATATTAATTTAATACTTCAGCGAATTAAAAAAAATGCCTAATACATGAAATAAATTTTAAAAAATTACAAAACAAATTTAATATTAAAATTCATTTTAAAAAAATAAATAAGCTGCACAAATAAAAATAAATTACAAATCAAAATAATTACTAATTACTACAAATTAATAACAATAATATCTCAACAAATTATTTCAAAAAATAAAAGTAAAAATATAACATTCGCTAATAACATTTCCATATCCAAATCTTATTAAAAATAACATATACTAAAAACAATATATATATATATATATATATATATATATATATATATATATATATATATATATATATATATATAAACTAAACCAGCCCAAATAGCCTAACTAACCCATCCCTATATATAAATATATTTACAGCCCAGTATTCCAACCCAACTCATCAGCTCATACCCGACCCAAACCATACCCAGATATAACCAATCCCCCCCAAATTAGAAACCAAATTCCCCTCCCCTTTTCCCGGTGTCTTCCTCGTCACTTCGAACAGCTAAGCTCACCGGAAATGGAAATCGTGCCAAATCACTAACAACAACCTACGATCAAAGCTCTAGCAGGTCCAACATAGTGCAAATATTGTCGCAATTCCATCATTTCTATCTCTCAAACCAAAAACACAGCAGATCCAAACTCTACTACCACACAGTTTACCGGAGAAAGAAGATTATCAACGGCGGCAAAGGAAAGAACCTACCCTATCAGGTAATTTTTATTTCATTCTTCAATCTACGCATCTTTTTGTACCTATCTACACACAAACCCTAATTTTTTTTCTCAATTCAAAGTGTAGATAAAACCACAGTGAAACTAACTGCAAAAACACTCCAAGATTATGCAGCACAACACGAATTGGAAGAGAAAGCAACAAACCAACAAAGATAAGTATTGACTCGCATTTTCCTGTGTATTTAGCGGAAATATGTAACATGAGCAGCTATAATTTGTATATGATGTTTAGGTTTTTCGAATTTGATGGTTTTTAGGGCATGCATGTATATTTATCTTCAAATTGAATTGAATAATTGCTTCTATTACTTCATAGAAATATAGTTCTAATTTTTTCAATTTCTCTAGTGTCTAGGTTCACTCTCAGAATATTTAATAATTCCATGAATTTGTTCCTTAAATTTTTAACAGCATCCATTATTTGTTTGATATCAATTTGCAGGCTATAAGTTCATTTTTTTAAAATGAAAACTATAATTTACTTCTACACATACATAGTGTTCCAGTGATATCTTATTCTCAAACTCAGTTTATTGTTTCTAAGATAACACCATGTAAAGATGACCATTTGCTGGTTTTATCTGAGTAAAGAGTAACACCATATTAGTGTGATATATCTTCTTGGTATATGGATAGTCTATTTGGACTCACATATGAGAATCTGTAATACTGCCTCCCACTTTGATTTTGGTAGATCACAATAAATCCACACATGAAGCCAAAGAGATTATAAAAAGGAAAACAGATTTTGCAATCAGGCAAATTACATTTTCTGTGGTAGAGATGTTGACCATACACCCTTATGTTCCTTATGTGTTTTATGCATTAACCTTATTAAAATGGACTATTTGAGAGAGAAAGCCATCAATATTAGAGAATGCAAGACATCAATTTACCTGGATTCTCATGTCGACAATTCAAATACCACCTATCAACTATTACATTCAAACCTTAGAATAATTCAATCAACTCTTACATTCACAATGTAGTTTTTATAACAAAACTGATGTCATTTTTTTGATTGTATGAGACACCTCTAAATGAAGAGCATTGAACTATCAAGCCGATTAATATGCCAAGAAAACGAAGTGAAAAAATGAACATTCAGATCTCTAGTCTGGCAGGTAACAAATGTATTCTTTGATGTGGTATTTTGTAAAACTTAGATAATTACTAACTTGTGTCAATTTTTTAATTTTTTTAAATGTATGAGACATGTCTAAGTGAAGAACACTGGACTATCAAGGGCATTAGCAGGCCAAGAAAAAGGAAAGGGAAAAAGGATCTGTTGAGACTGGTAGGCTGGCAAACAAGAACTGTATTCTTTGGTATTTTAAAAAACTTAGACTGCAACTCCAAATATAAGCTATACTTACTATCTCCATTCCAATAAAGAAATTAACATGTTGTTCTTATTTTCATATAAGTTACATGTATATGAAGAACACTGGAATCCAGAGGACAAATAGTCAGGCCAAAAATGAAAGGGGCAAAGTAATAAGGTAAGAAGTTGACTCCATCTCTGAATGTATTGTATTTCAAATAGAGGATTAACATTACTGCCAAATATGAATGCTTTTATAACTAACAATTTTTTTTTATTAGAGAATGTAGAGCAATCTCAAGAACATTGAAGTAAGAAAGGCAACCACAATCCAAGAAAGAAGGTTCAAATAAGGAGGGGATACCACAAACCAAAAGATGGAAAAATCAGACTAAAGGTAACCATCACACTTCAAAATAAGACATTGTTAGTAGCATATTAAACAACTTGTTGACACATAAACCATTCTAGGCACAGAAACAGTAGGGAAATACCATTACATAATAACAAAACACAGCTTGAAAAGAAGAACAACAACTAACATAGCTAAAAAACATAGATAGTCCCAAAACAGAAAGCAACAAACAAACAGGATAAGCCCAAAGTAAGAACCAATACTACATTGCCCAATTTCTCACTTCTCCTCCTTAATAGTGACTGCCTTAGACTTCTTAGAAACTCCTTGTGCTTCAAAATCCTCCAGCAGATTTCTCTTGAGATGAACTATATCAGGAGCATTAAACACTTCACTGTCAATTCCATCCAGCCCAGCACAGTCCTCATCATTCATTACCCAGAAGTCCTAAAACCAGCAACATTAAAGAACATTAAGAGGGTAGAACCTTAGAAAATTAAACAGTTAATCAAATAATCACATACCTCAGAATCAGCACCTTCATCCACCTGGGGACCTAAACCCTGAGGAACCTGTATCAATGGACTGTCAACCACCACACTTGAACTGTGCTGGGAAACCACTTCATTGTCAGTAGAAACACTAAGTACATGGAATGGTGATTGGAAACTCTCTAGCTGGGCCTTAGTAACAGTTACTCGAAACAACATTACCATTCCAGCAAGCTGTTGAAGCTCAGCTGGAACAAAATCAACCATCTGTGAATACTTAGACCTCAACTCCACAGCTGACATGCCAATCAATCGAGAACACTCTCGATCCCACATGAGCATAGGAGCATCTCCACTCTGGTCAGCAACACGCAATACCACCCTATATCTCATAATACCCTCACCCCAAGACCTTAGACATTTGGGACAATGCATTAAACCATTTTCCAACTTGATAACCTTTTTATTGCAAGAATTGTTCTTGCAAGAAAAGTAGAACCAGTCCAAGTAGTTCTCAATACCTAGGACCTTCCCAGCAACCCAGAATTGACCACTACACCAACAAAAGTACAGCAAAAGATTAATATTAAAAAAAAAAAATAGAGAACATGTTAGCAGAAATTGAGAGTTAAAGTGCAGAAAAAGTAGCATAATACCTGTTGATTCTGGTATAATTCAGCAATAGGAGTAACCACAGTATCACTATCAACCATAGGCACATTCAACATAAGGCCAAACCTAGAATCAGATGGTTTACACCTAAGGGGTGTGTAGTCACTGCCAACACTGCCCAAAAAAGATTTAAAAAAATAAAGAATAAAGAACATAGGTGCAACACAAAAAAAAAAAAAATGTATAAGAGATTACAAATTAAATAGGAATACCTAGCTCCACATGTCCACCCCACACTGTGCACTGCAGTTGTTTTTTTCTGAAAAAAAGGGGGAAAAGTAAACTGAGTAAAAATTAAAAAATAAGATAAAGGTGGAAAAAGATAGAGTATGCTAGAAGAACTTACTCAGCATCTTCAATGACAAAATCTATCAACCTTGTAGATTTTCCCCCAATAACCTTATCTACCGGAGAATATATCTCCACAACCCTTCCAATTACATCTAAAAAAAACAAACATAGAACCATTATAACACAGAAATATAGGTATTGTAAATAGGGAAAGAGATAAGGAGAAAAAACTTACCAAACAGTTCATTCTCATTCACACCATCCTTCTCCAAAACAGCCCTGAAACTTTTAATACGAAACATACAATCTGGGAAATCAATACGCCTATACTGCTTAACAGCAGTATCAAACTTAAACTTGATCATATACTTGTGATCACTTGTTTTATATTTGAAGTAGTTGGTGATGCATAAGAAGTTCCTAATCCCATAGACAATTAGACACTGCCCTCTTGAAAGTAAGAGCTGTACTTTTGAACTTGATCCTTAGGTATTTGAACATGTATGAAACTCCCCTTAGATTTACAGAAGCAAAAGAAAGGGAAGAACATTAGAAACTAATAGCAACTACTAAAAATATTATTGCTTTGAACAAAAGGAGAAAAAAAACAAAATTTACTTACTGCCGAATCATGAAACACACATTCACGACTTCTAATGACTTTCTCATCTGTTCCTTCAAATACCAAATAGGTACGCACAAGACGCAAACGCATTGCCTTAGAAGTCTGCTGAGGATGGATTTCAAAGCAAAGAATAAACTGGTCAGGCATGGTTAACGCTAAGAAGCTTTTGGAGTGGTTTACAGGGAAGTAGATGATCGGAAGTGGAAGAAAACATTAACACAACCTACCTATTTATACTGTTAAAGAGTTGTATTAGAGATGTAAAACCCATGATTAAAAGTTAGGCATGCGCCGGCAAGGAGTAAAAGGGCTCTTTGAAACCAATACAAAATTATTAGAATTACTCTATAGATACAAAAAAGATCACATTGGAAATCAACAGCCTAAACACACACGTTTCATGATTACAAAAATCAGAGTTGTATAAAAAAGAACCAATCAAAAAACAAACAAATCAGAAAAATTCAAAATCCAAAAAATATTAAAAAAACCTAGATATCCTTCCATAAATAACAAAAAATAAATAAAAGCCAAAATTTCTCCAAAACAATTTGGGCGGGATTTGGGGAGCAATTTGATTGGCCAAATCTATGGGCTTTATTATATATAAGATGAGCAAAATAATGTCTCTCAAAATTGTTTACCTACACAAAACAGGATCAGTCATGGCCATATCTAGCTATAAGGCGATTCCAGAGGGTCGTAATTTTTTTTTTAATAAATACTTTTAAAATAATATATTATTTTTTATATTTGATAATTATTATTTTTTGCATTCATAAATGGGTCTTAATTGTAATTAAAAATAAAATTTTAGAAAAATTGATATCAAAATTTTACTGAATAATTTTATATATTTAAATATGAATGAAAAATGACACTTTTAAATTAACTTTTGAATTGAATACTTTCTTTGTTAATTTTTTAGGCATTATATTTGAACAAAAGATTTTAATTACATTTTTTTAATTTTTGGCAAAGAATATTAAAATCCAAATGATTTTGAACTCAATTACCCACATATACAAACTACTACGTCAGGCTCAAATCCATCACCTCCCATCAGAAGTCTTTTGAAATTATGTTTCTTACCTTTATAAATAAAAATTTCAATCATTATAGCAAAATTTAAATATTAAAAGATCTCTCTTTCTCAAGCTAAAAATAAAGTGTAAAATTAAAATATCTAAGAAAATGAAGAGTATCTCCAGTTCTCTTCAAATAGCTAAAAATATTATGGGGATGTTAAATACATTCTATGAGAAAGTTACTAATCAAACATGAGAATCATATATCTCCAAACAAATATAACATTAGTTCTCCAATATAACTTTGAACAGATTATTCATTTAGTCAACTTCCACATGTAGCATATAATTAGACAGCATGGCCATCTGTATGTACAGCCCAACACAGAACAGAAGGGTTTACAAGTATTAATCCTGCCTTGAGCAGTAGTAATAATTACTAATTACAAGAAATGCAACCTGCAGCATATAAAATTTTAAGTGTAAAATACTACAGTAATAAACTACTTTTCCATACAGCCCCTACTTCATAAATTGTACACTAGCATTTGTTACATAAATCAATCCGAATCAGACATGTTCGATATTGATAAGGTATTAGAGTTAACGCCAAGTCTGCAAAGGACCAAAGAATTCCCAGAAAAAAGAGCTTAGTACCAAAGCCGACCAAAGAATATACTTGGACAGAGACTAGACGTTCAATTTCATCAACTGTAAAACAAATTTGACAAATGATAAAATAAGAATGTTCACCAATTCCTTCACGAACAGACAAATTTGGTCTGATAACATCGTTTGCATTGATTAGGAATACATTGCCAATATAGATATGGTTTGTAGGAACATACACACAGTATAGAACTTCATCTCCTGCATAATTCTGTTTAAAGACTAGATTAATGGTGGGGGGTGTTGATAAAACCATAGATTATTTATTTAAAAAATTCTTTAAAACTGAATACAAAATAACTACACATTATAGTTCAAAAGAAATCATGAGCTAGCCTTTTCATGGCTGAAGTATAATTGTAACATACTAAAAGAATCCTTGCAGCTTACTAATAAACAGATCAAATGAATAGCTTAAATTACAGGAATAACAAACAAAGCATCCAAGTAATTGGTATACCTGAAGGACAACATATGAGGTGATGAACCCAAAAGCATATTCGTGGTTACCAATCTGTTTCTTTTTTATTTTTTTATCCCTCTTTTTTTCAACCTTTAGCATCCAAGTGGACAAAGAGAAAAGAAAAAATAAAAAGTAAAAAGGAAATAGAAAAAGCCCATGCAGTGCTTTTAATTATCTCCTCCTGCAACCCCAAATCATAACAGTTAAACTCTGCTCTTCTCTCTCATCTTTCCTACACCTCCCCAAAATACCCCATTAGCCATACACTATGTGCAAACGTAATGGGGGCTTTTGGGGATACTGTCCCATTTTTAGAGAAGTGAAGGAGAAAGGAGAGAAATGTTTGTCTATAAGGTTCCCATGAGTTTTTTGCACTTTTAGTCCCACGACTATAGTGGCACTGGCAAAATTGATCCACGACTTTTGAACTTTGTAATTTTAGTCCACGACTATTGATCTTTTTGCAAAAAATGGTCATTCCGGCCACTTTTCCGTCAAAATTTCACCGGAAAAAAAAAATTCTCTATTTTTAGCTGGGTTAAATGCGACGGCGGAGTACATGTACCAATCCAAAGCTGTTGCCGGATAACCCAACTAGCCCGAGGAACGCCATGGCCGCTCCGCCGCTTACTGACAACCCTGCCTGCTCCAGGAACTCTGCCGTCTGGGACAGTAGTATGTAGCCCAGTAATATTGTATGTAGTCAAATATCAATTTTTTTCTTTTAATTTGTTGAGATAAGTAAAATGTCAATTTTAACCCGGCTAAAAATGAAGAATTTTTTTTTTCCGGTGAAATTTTGACGGAAAAGTGGCCGGAAGGACTATTTTTGCAAAAAAATCAATAGTCGTGGACTAAAATTGCAAGGTTCAAAAGTCGTGGATCAATTCTGCCGGTGTCACTATAGTCGTGGGACTAAAAGTGCAAAAAACTCAAGTTCCCATTTGCAAAGTTTGTCTGCAAAATGTGGCCTGTCAAGCCCTTCTCTATTTTTCACTTCTAATTTTGTCCTCTTTCTCCAACAAGGCAACAATAGACAAAAACTCACAAAAAAACGTTAACCTAGTCTAGATATAAGGGCATTTGCAATGGAGGAGAAAATGGGAGAGAAGGAGGTTATGGGGAGGGGAGACACCCCATCATGAGCATGGTGCATGCAGGCACGTGCCATTTTAGTGTGGGACAGTTGTCCCCCACCATGAGTTTTTTTTTTAAATAAAAATCATCTTAATTATTCTTTTAAAACTCAAGGTAGAGGATAACTGTCTCACATCAAAATAATGCGTGCAAACATGCAAGATCTCCTAAGAGAATGATCTCTCTGATTAAATCTCCCACCCCATATTGGAGATGCCCAAAGATTAGAAATGATAGCCCAATAGGCATAAGTGATGACATATTGTAGCACAATAATAACTTTTCATCTCTACTCATTAATCCCCAATGGTTAAAACAAACCCCCCAAAGGATTCTTTTTTTTTCACTCAACATAAACTCTAAAACCCTCATGGGGCTGTTTAGCAATTAGTTGTTGAATTAGCTGGTTTGACCATCTAATAGTATTAGATAGTGGTAAAAAGCTGAGTTTGTGAAACAGGCAACCATCTAATAGGATCGACACTATTAAAATTGAAGATTGCGTTTAGTATTATAGTCAAGCATTAGCATATTGTTGTTACAATCCAATTGAGTTACTGAAAATTCTCAAATAGAGTCAGATTGAAACACATGAATGTATAAGGGGTAAAACACACATGATTAAGAAGACAACAAAACTCATACAAGGGCATCAGTTCTCGAAGATGATTTAACTTCAAAGAAAATTCAGATGCAAATTACCCATTTACCATGAGATTCATCATATGCCCAATTAAGGATGAAATTGAAAACATGAGAATAAGGATAGAAAACAAACAAAAAAGAAGCAGAACGCATAAATATTGGAAATGATGTGATCAGAACCTGTCGGATTTATAATAATATCAGACCAGTTGGGATTCACATCATGGTATACCAAAACCATTTCTACAATATATAAAATAAAAAATTGGAAAATAAAAACCATAAAACATTCCCAGTAGGGGTTTTTGAAGTGTTTTTAAAGACCATCGGAGCGAAAAGAATAATTTAAAAACATTCCCAGTAGGTTGGCATAAGAAAACACTGGATCATGAACAACCTAAGTATTTCAAATAATGTAAAACGAATTATTAAAAAAAGGTTGAGTCATCAGATAGGAGCGAAAGACAATTTTTTTAATCACAAAGACTATCATTTGAACTATGCACAAAATCATCATATGACTCCATTTAGTATGAAAGGATTTCAGTTTTTTTTTAAATTAAAAAAAAAAAACAGAAAAAAAGTATTCAAAAGAATTTGCAATCAGATAGAAAAGGCCTCAGAAGGAAGGCAGTAGTATTGTTGTAATCATGATTTCTCATAAACACAATTCAACTATACTCATCATTGGCATAAATAAATAATAATTGGAAGAAACACAAAAAGCTGTTATGTCTTTAAAGAAAAGATCAAAACCAAGTAAATTTGGTAACAGAAAGGTGGCCTCATAGAGAATATTAGAATTATCAACATAAGAAAATTCAGACATATGCTTGTCAATTAAATACTTAAATCATTGGCCCCAAATCTGAATTTTTTAAAATCAATAACACAACAATTCTAATCATCAAATCAGAATTAAAATAGAAACAAAGATTGAAACTTTAGGTTACCCAAGAATAAAACCTATCAAGCAAATGGATATATTTCATTCTACAAATTGGGCTTCAATACCAAACAGAAAATACACAAAGCACAAATACCGGAAATGAAGTGATCGGAACCTGTCGGGATTCATGTATAACATCACAAATGTATCAGTGGATTGACAGACATGAATTATATCGTCACCTCACTTCAGTATACCTAAATTTTACAATATATAAAATAAAAGAATTGAAAAATTAAAACCTTGAATGCTCAGAACTTCTTAGAGGATTTGTGCAACTATCAAAGACAATGTCTCAAGCACATAGAAAGTATTCATCCATGCACTTGTAAATTTACATATCAGGGATATATCATCTCAAAACACATTCAAAATAATCAGAACATACAGAAAGGGAAAAACATTAAAATCACAATGGGCATTCAAAACTAACTCACAAGAAAAAAAATGTAAATCCTATTACACCTGGACAGCATAAATAATGGTGGACTCAGTTTATGGGTGGTCGTCAATGTGGTTCAACACAATTACGACGAACGAGACCATATAATTAATCATCACAGTCCTACAACAATTTCATTAAAAAAAACTAACCTAGAAGAAATTAAACACACACAAGTAGTTCAAAACATATAAAATCTTTACAAAATGTTTAAAAATAATAAAAGAAGTTGAGTCATCAGATAGGAGCGAAAGACAAATTTGTTTAATCACAAAGATTATCATTTGAACTATGCACAAAATCATCATATGACTCTTTCTAGCACAAAAAGACTAAGTTTTTCAAAAAACAAAAACAGAAAAAAAAAAAATCATTCAAAAGAGTTTGCAAAACCATTTGCAATAAGATTTTAAGAAATGCCTCAGAAGGAAGGCAGTAGTGTTGTTGTAATCAGGATTTATCATGAACACATCTCCACTATAATCATCATTGGCATTTATGAATAATAGTTGGGGGAAAAAATCGGAAAGTTGTAATATTTTAGAAGAAAAATTAAAACTATGGAAATTTGAGAGCAGAAAGGCGATGTTAGCAACTACTGGGAGAATGCTGGTAATTATAGCGAATGAAGGAGATGATAGGGAGCTAGGGTTTTGGGGGAGTTTCTCGGCCTCAGTGGAATCCGCAGTCTACTACTGATGCTACAAAAATTGGGCTTCTATGTAATAGTAGCTGGCCTAAAACTGAGCCCAATATACTCTTCTTGAGTCGTTATGTTGTGCATCCGTGTGCAGCATGCATGGTGCCACTGCACACAGATGCAAAAACAACGTCGTTTTGATGTCGACTCAATAAAAAAAATTAAAATTACATAATTACACATTCATAATTTCATAACTATACATCCAGAATTGCATAATTATACATCCAAAATTGCATAACTACACATCCATAATTTCATTACTATACATCCAGAATTGCATAACTACACATCCATAATTTCATTACTATACATCCAGAATTGCATAACTACACATCCATAACTTCATAACTATAAATCCAGAATTGCATAACTTCATAACTATACATTCAGAATTGCATAACTACACATCTATAACTTCATAACTATAAATCCAGAATTACATAACTTCATAACTATACATTCATAATTGCATAACTACACATTTATAACTTCATAACTATAAATCCAGAATTGCATAACTTCATAACTATACATTCAGAATTGCATAACTACACATTTATAACTTCATAACTATAAATCCAGAATTGTATAACTTCATAACTATACATTCATAATTGCATAACTACACATCCATAATTTCATAACTATAAATTCAGAATTGCATAACTATACCTCCATAATTTCATAACTATACATTCAGAAATTATGCACAACATAATGTTGTTGACGGGAATTAAAACTGTTTTTTTTTTTTTTTAAAGTTGGAAGCCCGTTTTTAATCAAAACGACATCATTTTTGCATCTGTGTGCAACTACATAATTTGCCACTCCTTTTTTTTTTTTTTTTTTTTTTTTTTTTGCAAGAAGTCGAATATACTCAAATTGAAACTAGAAAGTGAATCACCACAGAATTCTCTTTGACCAAGCACATATAACTGCAATCATTGTACCTTTGATTTACAAATAAAATAAAATTAAATTTAAAACAAAATCACCAGCTACTTCCCAATTGTATTTTAAGTGAAAGTTGCTATTCACCAGTTGAAATAAAAAAATAAAAAATGTTAGACATCTTCTACACTGAGTCAAATTTAGAATTTTATAATTACCAAATCAATTATTTGCTATAGAATTACCCCAACAATCATTATACATGGTCCATGGTATATAATAAAGTCGACCACTAACATACATATTAAGTATATTAGAAACATTGTATGTCTTGCGGAGGGAAAATACCAATGAGCTAACATAACAAAATTAGTAAAAGAAAAAAAAAAACAAGAAAATGTGAAAATACCTAATTGAAGACTAAAGAGTATCATGCATTCTCTTCAAATATCTAAAAATATCATGTAGATGTTGAGTTACATTCTATGAAAAAGTTACTAATCAACATATATAACATTAGTTATCTTACATAACTTAAACAATCGCTTTTATTCATTTAGGGGGTGTTCAATTGGTAAATAGTTGTTAACTGATTGTGTTAGTGGTTTGACTAGTTGATAGCATTAACTGATGGTAGAAAAGTGTTTTGTAAATTAATTTTTAGCTGATAGCTAATTACATTCAAAATAAATTTTAGCATTTTGGAGCAATAAGTTATTATTACAAAAAGATAATTAATCAAATACTCATATTAATTATTTAACCAAGTCAAATAGCTAATAATTATTAAATAAGTCAAAATTAATTGATAAACTAACTATGTTATCTGAACTTAGTAAATTTTATCATGTACTAAGTACATTAGAGAGCATGGCCATCTGTATGTACAACCCAACACAAAATAGCAGGGTTTACAAGTATTAATCATGCCTTTGAACAGTTGTAATTAAAAGAAATGCAACCTCCAGCATATACAATTTTGTGTAGAACTACTAATTAACTACTTTTCTATACAACCCCTACTTCCTAAATTGTAAATTGGACGGAGACTAGACGTTCAATTTCGTCCACTATAAGCAAATTTGACAAATGATGAAATGATAAAATAAGAATTTCCCATACCAATTCCTTCACGAACAGACAAATTTAGTCTGATAAGTGACAACATCGTTTGCATTGATTAGGAATATAGGGTCAAAGACTGAAATAGGAACAATTTTGGAATGAAGGACAAAAATGGAAATGTTTTTAAAAATAGACAATTAAAAAAAAACAAAAAAAAACTCATTGGGGACTTACGTTTTTTTTTTTTTTTTGGTCAGAAACACAAGTTAGGATTTTGTTGAATTTGAAATTGTGATTAATAATGAGTATAACGACTAATATGCCTATGAATATCAAGGTAGATTGAAACTCATAGGCCGACCCTAAATCATTCCTGGTGGGGTGGGTTAGGGCCTAGAAATTTTGGTCAATCCACAGGCTTCTCAAGAAATATAAATAAATAAATAAATATAATGCGTGTGTACACACATCCAATGTAGATATAAATAAATAAATAAATATAATGCGTGTGTACACACATCCAATGTAGTATGTATGTGTGAGTCCACAGTATTTGGGCCAGTGTGTACATATCCATGAACTACATTGTAGTATTTGTTCATATACTTTCTCAACCTACTAAAACACAAAGAACCAATAACACCTCCATTGAGGTTCAAACTCATAATCTTCCAAATGGAAGTCCAACCCGGGTACCATTAGACCACATAGTCCTGGTACATGAATGTAATTATATATTCTAACCATTAAAAACATAAAAAATTAAAGTATTTTAATTTATAAACACAAAAAGATCTAAATAATATCATTTAGGTTTGGAATATAAAATAATACCATAATAAATTTGAAGTTGGCTTGCGGAGCTGCGAGCCCGCCTTGCATAATACTAGCCTGCGGGCTGGGCGCAAAGGCCTGTGAATAAAAAAGTCCGGAGTGGGCTTAATGGTCGGCCCGGCCTGCACTGGAATCCCCAAATATGTCCTTATACAATAATAATGATAGAAAAAAGGACCAGGCGTTTCATATGGGGCCGGGATGAACAAACCGGGGGTAACAAAATGAGTCTGGTGGCCTGGGATACGATTACTACTGATAAAACATGTGGTGGTCTGGGCCTAAGGAAAATGCACCCCATGAACACT